GAGACCCCTGCTATGGAAAATTGTATACACTTCTAAACAAATTAAAAGGATAACTTCTTAAATACTGCGCTTCATACAACTACAACTTTCAAGGTAGAAGTCGCTGCCAATTTTTTTTTTTTCTTTTCACTCCACCTTTTAGCAATGTTTGAGAGATGCGAATTAGGTACTATAGCTAAAAACTTGACGAGGAAGCACCAGTGCTCTCCCGCTCTCTCTAAGCCTCTTTTTCTTGGCAGGAATCGGCATCGGCAAGTTGCCTTGGTGGCGTCGTGGCATCACTATTTTCTCCTTTCTAACCTGAGCATGCGCATCATTTTGGATGTTGTAATTATGACAAACAGGCATCCGACATAAACCTGCTCCACTGGCCGGCGGAATTTCAGAATCGAATAGCGCTGTCGTGCGATACTTTTGTAGGGCGTCGTTTATCTTCAGGCATAAAAAGACAAACGTTTGCGCGTGCTTTAATTAGTACGAGCGGCCCTCCAGTTCTAAGGTCACCTAACTGATGTACAAAGTTCATGCAACAGAAAGCAGTTTAAATTTGGACATCACGACTGCTTGACCTCTGCGAACTTAGTTTTGAGAGTCGGTCGAGCCCTTGCGGCTGATTGCCGATGCAAACACAGAGAGCGTTGAAAACACTCGACCACAAACGCTGTCCTTCACTATCAAAAACAGTCGAAATATACGATATGCGAAATGCACAGCTCCTATCTAGTGAAGCGCCGAAGAACATGCTCTGTCTCATTAGTCGGCTTCGGGGCTAGGAAAGGCCAGGGCGCGAAAGCGTACTTCTGAAGAATCCTTTGCTTGCACAAGCACCCCTTCAGCGAAAGCACTTTCAAAAACCAGGCGCCCGCGCCCGTGCCTTTGCCGGCGCTCAAAGCTAAATGTTAAACTGAAGTGTACGTCCGACATGATGGTCGCGGCGAGAAACCAGCGACCGGTTGCTTCTTGCTCACGTACATGAGCAAGAAGAGCGTAGAACAATACTAACCCTTAGCTCGCAGGTGTGGATCAGGATCGATGACGATGAGCGGTAGGCCACGATTGTTACCGACAACGCCACGAAATCGACAAACAGCGGGGAAATTTCGACGCAACAAAAATGGCAGCGCACAGAGTGTTGCCAGACGTTCGAACAATTTCGCATAGGGTCTATTGCCGGGTGCCAGGTTAGTGGGCGTCAGTAGCCATTTCAAAAGTTGTTTTCGGGAAGAAAATACTTCAGGACACATCGCCCGATGATCCGGAGCATGGTCGTGATGAACGATAATGACCTTTTACGGTCGTGTATTTTTTTTTTATCCCCACAAAAACGGTCAGAACTATTTTTTTTTGTTATAATCTTCTCCGTAGGATAAAGCCGTCACTGTCGTTCCCTTTGGAACGCAGTGGGTGAGTACGAAGCCTTCACTGTCCCAGAACATGGCCGTCATCATCTCCGTACTGCCGGTAGCACTAAACATATTCGGAGGCTGGGAGTCGCAGTGCTTTCATTGCTGTGTCTGGCGCTTCGCTTTAATAAGAAACGGCATTCACGTCCTAATCATTGTTAGAATTCACCAAAGAAAACCGCCATTAATGCCCTTATCACTCGACAAAATTACCTACTTTCATGCTGGCGCAGAAAACAATGAATTACACTCCGCTCTCTGAAGATGACTATCGCTATTTTTAGTGTGTGAAACATTAGTGGAGCAAGGTGGCACCACGAGCGTTTGATGACCTTCAGAATGATGCTACCCGTCTCGCACTTATTCCCAATAAAATCCCTCGTCTTCGAAAACGCTCGTCATTTTGCAACTCTATCGCATTCGCTCTACTGTTAGAACCGCATCGTTCATCCCGACGACTTTTTAACTCCCTTAGTGTACGTCGCATCCATGGTTCCACTGTCACCTTTAACAACTCATTTCTTCCCTTTGCCATAATAGAGTGGAACAATCTACCGGACCGTGTAGTGCTCATCAGTGACCCCGACCTCTTCAGACATGCTGTATCGTCTATATTTAATATGTAATCAGTGCGATGCTCCTACCTATGGCCAGTGCTCAGCCGCATCTTGTTTCTATGTTTTGTTTTTTGTTTTTATATTGTATTAAAGTTTTACTTGTGTGCTTCTTTGTATTGCCCTCCCCTTAAGTAATGCCCCTGGCAGGGCCTTTAAGGGATAATAAATGAAATGAAATGAAACAAATTACGATAGCTTACAACTAGAATGCCACTCGTAGATTCTGATATCTTTATGTGATGTCGAATTACAGTAGTGTTGACGATTGGGCTAGTTGGTCATTCATATTAGCGGAAAACAAACAGCGCACGGACAAGGACAGAGTAGAAGGCGGTAGACACACACAGCGCTGACTTACAACTGAGCTTTATTGGCACTGACAACCTGTATAAATACACAATTTGCCCGGCCCAAAAGCCAAGAAAAGAAACAACACAAGAGGAGGACTACACGTGTTCCCAGAGTCATTTGCAGGCACCGTTGTTCTCCGATCTGAGTAGAAAAATACACTCCTTTTCCGTCGAGCCAAGTGACGGGGCACTAACGCACTCAGAGCCCGATTGTCCAATGGCGCGGGCTTCAATAATCTCACGTGTCAGTTTATCTTTTTGTTTTCTGATGACCGCGTATCGTTCAAAAAACGGAGCACATCCGCAATCGCGGCAATGCACCCCAAGGTGCCCCGACACAACCTGAGACACATTATAACGATGCTCTCTTAAACGCTCATTAAGACAACGTCCTGTCTGCCCTATGTATCTCCGGCCACAGGACAGGGGAATAGAGTATACAACAACCGCAACGCATGTAACAAACTGGTTTTGGTGTTTCTTGGTGCACACCTGTCTCTCTATTACATGAGAGTTCACTCTTTTGCACATCATAGATAGCCTGTCTGGAGCCGAAAAGAACACGTGAACACCAGCTCGACGTCCCACTTTCCTCATATTATGAGATATTTTGTGTAGGTACGCTAATACTGTGATGTTCCTGTTTTTCCTGTTAACTTGTTCAGCATTCTCAATGCGTCTTCTCTTTAGTAGAGGCGTTTCTGCGACTGCCGTTAGGAGGCGTAACGGGTAGCCCGCGGCCGTGAGCCTCGCTACTTGATTCTTAAAGCTACCCTTGACTAAGTGAAAGCAGGATTACATTTTTCTCTATAAGAGTGGTGTCTAGTGCGAGCTGGTGTTGCATTACTAACGTAAAACAGCGCAAAAATTGCGAAGGACAGGTAGAAGGAACAAGACGACAAGCGCTGTTTTAAAACGAAATTTTAATATAAAAAAAACATGAAGACGCCGAACCACCAAAAACACCAAACACTGCATATCTGCCTATCTTATCGAGGTATTTACAAACTCGCTTCAAAACGACAGATTTACGCGTCTTTGCTGCAAAACGAATCGATAGACGGAGAGATGACAGAGCTGCCCTCCTCGCAACGTGACATGCTGAACGCTTCTGATCTGCCTGGTTCCTTGATCAGTGTGCCACGATTGCAGTGTCAGTAAAGAGTGGCACACGCCCGCACCTGTCACAGTGTACCGCCAAATGGCCGGAAGGAGAATACCTCCTTTCGCTGCGCAGCGCTGCGTGTCTCTTTGTTTTGTGAGTATGTTGACTCGAGTGACTGTTTCCCGGGTGCACTGTTCCCCCTGTACACCTTTTCCTACCTGTCCGTGATTTCTTGCGCTGTTTTTTGTCAGTAATACATTTTCCTGAAAAATATTTCAAGAATACATAAGGTTGGTCACTAGCGACACACGGAACGTTGCCCTAATTTTAAGCTACAAATCAGTTTATACACATTATAGAAAGTGTTAATAGCCGACGCTACGCGGTAATGGGACCAATCAAGCAGCGTCAAAAGTGCAAGTCACTTTTTCGTTTATGAATTGTTCAGCGATGATAGAGGACGTACAGAAACCTGACGAACACCATGGTACGCTTTTGACGGTGTCTGGTTGGCCCAATCAGCTCGGTGCGTCGGCTGCATCTGGACTTCAGCTGGTAGACCAAGCTTAGATTTAAATGCGCATTTCTTTTGACAGCCCAGTTATTTCCCAAACTAGTTGTTTATAGTCGGCTGGTTTTCTATAGTAGCGAGGTATATGGGGACGGTCACCGGGAAATGTGCCGACATTGCGGAGTGCACTAAAAGTCAGTGATTCATTTGAGACCCTCGTAGCAGTCGACGGACATGTCATGAGCTGAGTAAAGCCCCCTTTGCATGAGGCATTCTGCTGAGAGTATGGTGCCTCGGACGCGTCTACGACTTCTCAACATACAAATGGGGCTAAGAACCAATAAAGAAATTTAACTGCACCACCTTCCTAGGTCGAATCCCGAGGATGAACATAAGGCCGCAAAAACACCGATAAGTTATCTAATACTCATTTCTTCAAAACACTATAAACTTCAATAGCGGGTACCTGTTTTTGTTCTCTTTATACTATCTCTTCTCGGTTACTTTCCTCTCTCGTTTCTCCTAGTCCTCAAACCTACTCCCTTCTTTTCCTTTTGCTCCCGAAGTACCGAATCAGCTCCAAATTTTGGTTGACCTCTTCGTGTTTGTAAAGAGACAGTTGTCCCTATCTCCGACTTATGTGTTTATCGTCTCCAAGAAGTTAGTCCCTCGATTTGCTCCTGGACGTGTAAAAGTTTTATGTTTTCGCCTGCCGCGAAACTACAGTGGTTAATGTCGCAGAAGCCCGTTCTGCTGCAGGTCGATGTCCAGGTTAACAGTGGACAGAAACTTCAGCAGCCAGCAGTTGTGACGCCGTGATGACTCTCGCATTCGTTCTTACTTTTTGCCGGGGCTTTTAGCTCCAACCGCCAGAATCGCGACATCCGACAACGTGACACGTCGGCTTATGTGACGTCATTTGTTACCACTTGGAGGCCACTTTTAATGCGAGGTAGGACGCTAAGCGCACCAGTTGAGTATGCAGGTTCCGTAGTGAAGCTGACTCGTGCGCAGGAGGCGAGCAAGACGGGTCCCAGCACGAGCTCGGCCGGCACGGAGGACCACAACGGAAACAGCGTCCCGGCCGATTCTCCGGAGGCCCGCAAACTGGACTCGGCAGCGGCCGGGTTCACGACCACGTCTCCTGGCAGCGTAGCCACTGCGGAATCCGGTAGGCCTCCGAGTGTTGCTCGCAGCCCGCGTTCCGCCCTTCTCATTGCGGATCTTTAGAGGGACGCTGTCAGGTTCGGTACAGAGCGAAACCACTGTGCATGCAGAAATCCTTCCAAACTTTGAGGAGCGTGGCGCTTCGACGCGACCGCTTTTCCCCCAAACGCTTTTGTCAGAACCGCTCCTTTTTTCTGCCGAAAGGGACTCTGCTACGAGTTTTTAACTGTTCTTAATGTTACATTAGCTGTGCTTAAGCTAGATTATAATGCCGCTGTAACGCGGCGAAATTGTATTTTTTTTATATTGTAAGTTATTTAGAATGCAAAAAAGGGTATAAACGTTATAATTCCCAGTACCCTTCTTTTTGTTGATGACGAAGCTAGAATAGATAAACAGAGGAACGAAATGACAAGGGCGTGCGTACACCACCAGCGATGTTCGTTAGTATTGAGGGAACCCGAATCTTTATATTGTTACTTAGTTGTAGACGACCCGCAGAATTATTGCATTTATTTATTTATTTATTTACACGTACCCTCAAAGTCCACGGTAACCTTACAGGGGGAGTGGTTGGTTAGCGTAGCGCAAAACATATCGCTGATCGTCATGATGTCATGCGAAAGGCCATTCCAGTCCATGATAGTTTCCGGTAGAAGTGAATGTTTGTAGGTTGTGGGTTCGGTCTTGGTCCGAACAATCTTTCATGAGTCGTCCAGTCTAGGAGAAACTGCCTTAAAGATGGGAATACTTTATCAGGGAGACAACGACGGCAAATATTACGACGCAGTGAAAAATTGAAGAGGGCAAAGTGAGAGTTCATTGTAGTGACGAGATGAACCAGAAATAAATTATATCGAGCGAGATGCGCCATTTTGAACGGCTTCACTGGCGTGACTCAGAACTTGTTGGTGGCGCCGCCTAGGGAATAAAGCCTAGTGCAGTTTAGTTCGAACTGGAGTGATATGATGATGAGTTTCAATATTTAAACGGGAAGATTAGAATTCTGACGAATACAATTAGATGAGCCTATCATATTGTCAATTTGAACATTTCATGTTAAATGACAACTTAAATGTCAAATGAACAGTCTGATATTTGTACTGAGTCTGAAGAGCGATGACGTTAGGCAATAATGTCGTTACTAAGTGGAAGAAAGAGCGCATAAAGCACAGGTGCAATGCAATGTTTAATATTTACTACATCTGCCACTTAGAACACATTGGAAAGTTTGTAATATGTCGCCTTAGAGAGGAAATGTGAGCGCCTTTTTCCGCTTCAAATATTTCACCTAAAGTTTTTTTGTTTTTTTTTTACACAAAATTAAATATATCGTTTTGTTACAATGCCAGATTTTAGATGAATAAACCTTCTCTCCCCATACAATGTGGAGAGAAGGTATATTTATTCACAAATGCAACCGCGTGTAATAATAAATATCAAGTGTGCGGTGGCAGAGGAGATAAGCTCACCGACGAAAAGCTCAGCAGGAGGAACTCGGAGAGAGTGACCCACGAGAGTCAATTTAGTTTTTCTCCATTCATCGTAAATTCATAGCACTGTGACCGTCCATATAACGTCTGCATAGGTCCCCTCATGTGCAAAAAAGTATTTCGAGGCGTGTTACCCTCCGCATCTTTTTCTTTGCCCGGATTTCCTTCTTTTCAGCACTAGGATCGGAAGTAAAGGGCCTCATTACATCGCCCATATTCCTAACACCGACGGCGTGCATTTGATACCCTTTTTATTTTTTCTCGGATTTCAGCCCCGAGGCCGTGCCGCCTTTTGCGGCACATTGAATAGGCGTGAGCATGTTTCAACAAGTGTCGATAGACTTCAGTCGGCGTGAACAGATGAGAAGGAGACGGCCCACCTTTCTGCTCCTTCAAGTTTTCTTCGTTGCGTAACGTCGCCACCTCTGAAGCTGCCAAGAGACGAATCCACTGTTTACAAACTCTCAGCCCAGACCAGTGTTGGACGAGATACTCCACAAAATTATTTAAGTTACTAAATACCTGCCCCAAAAAGTATCGGAGTACTTCTCAAGTTATTTTCCCTTTAAAATATATTGAGTAGATTACAAATACTTAGTAATGTAATTTAATTACTCTCGAAGAAACTTTGTCATTGCGTAATATCGTTTGAGTAACAACAGAGTGCTGTGTTTACAACCAACAGAAGCAAAGAAAATAAAATCGCAGTGCTCTTCTAGGCAGTCCCGGTAAAATGAGTAGTGTCGAACTGGGGAATGTTTCAAAAAGAAAAAAGTCACACCTTGTGGTGGTTCTATTGTGCGCATCTTGCAAGCATTATTTTACTAGGCGCTGAAGTCGATAGATATCCGGAGTTCACGTTAAGGCTGAGGTCCCACGGCGGCCATCTTGAAGAGGCCCCTAGATGGCGACACCGATCCGTGTGGCCGTGAAACTGTGGTATGGCTCGTGGCACCGATGTTCCGACTAGTCCCCTGTGCACGTTGCGCACTCACCGCGTGCTCTCCCTGCGTCACACGGTGCCAGCCCTTCCTAGTTTCCTCGGCTGCTAAACAAAACAAGCTAGCCCAGCCAGCTCATCTATCGCAGGATACCTACCGGGGTGGCCTTTATTCTCTGATATGGCCCTCTGATCCGTGGAGCAGTAATTTCGACATGCTTTTTGTGCAAGACATCGCGAAGTGAACGGAATATCTTTCGGCTTAAATTGTTAATATTTCGTGAATAAAATAAAATTGCTCGGCATAAACGTTTAGCAGGCCCTATCCGTCAAGACACAGGTTGACAAGGACGTCTGCTAACATGATAGCGATGCTTGGCGATTTACTTACATGATTAATACGATAACCATTGAAAAGCGGCTGGATGCTACAGAATACTGCTTCAATGAACAAAAAGCTAGAGCTCAAACTTGGAGGGGGAGGTTGAACATAATTTAAGGGGGACTCACCACATCAGATTCCGATGGGACTTAGTATTTCACGACTGCCGGCCTTAAAATCATCACAGAGAAGCAACAAGCGTTTTACAGAATCATGTAAGTGTTTTTAAAGGCATGGATTACATAGTTTTTAAGTATATCAATTATGTACCAAAAAAAAACAACAACTGTGAAACGCTTTTTCCCCACATACATACATTAGAAAATCTTAATATATATATATATATATATATATATATATATATATATATATATATATATATATATATATTAAATCAATGAGGCGTTATAATCAATATCAGACGAATCCACATTGTGGAGCTTGTATTCTAGATCACAGACGTGAACTAGCATTTTCCAAAAATTAACTTTCGGAGCGTTTGTTCATGAAACTGTCACGACGAAACTTTAGTTCGGCTAGTTTGCACTGGATGGCGCTCGCTGTCCAGAAAGAGAGACGTTTTGTAATTATAATGCAATTAAACGCATTAATACCTGGACCAGGCGGATTTTTTTCGGTCGCTCACGAGTCGCCTATCTGTGTTTGGAGATTTATGTTTGTCCTTTGTCCCTCTTGTTCCCCTTCTCCAGGGATTATTTTCGTCGTCGTTTTGTAGTTGGCTCTTGTCGTTGTAGTATATTTATGTATTCATGACTTGAGGCTCTGCCCATGCTCTTCCTCCGTTTTACCTTTTCTACGTGGGCGCCGCCATCTTCAATTCTGGAACTTCCGGTATGCGTGAAAAGATCGCTTTCTTCTCACCTCGACAGTAGAACGTGTTAACATTTTAATTGCAACCGTCAGTCGTTCAATCGTTATGACCCTCCTATACTCTTTTACATCTTCGGGGTTGTAATATCTTGCTTTTTGTTTTGAACGCATACCGGATAGGGGGACAACGTGGCTGGCTCCGAGGCTAAACGAAAAGGGTGTTATATCCCGTGCGTCTAGGAGCAACGGGATAGTGCTGCGCTGGTATGGAAGGCGGCAAAGGGAAGGGCCTCGTGGCCTTGTCAACTTGACCCCACGACGGACGCGTGTATTGCTTGTTGCTAAGTGCAGGTCGATATGTATGTCTTGTGATCAGGGGGTTGAGGAGAAGCGTGCAGAACTGAGCGATTTATGGAGGACACAAGTATTTTTTTAATCTAAATTGAGCGTATGAGACAGTGCGGAAATATTCGCCGAGCCCACTGTAGTACAAACCTGCTGCTTGTGCGGTTTATATCATGTTGTTCATCAAACGACGTTTCATCGGCTGATCGCTATGTGAACGCTCCAATTTTCCATCGACAAATCATTTCCTCGAAACGAGACTCCTTTTGTGTCATTGACACACTTTGGAACGTTTCGTTGAAGAATGTTTTCTTGTACGCTTGCGTGCGTGCATGCGTGCGCGCGTGCATACGTTCGTGCGTGCCTGCGTGCGCGCGTGCGCGAGTTGCGGGTGCGTGCTAGCGCCTACGTAAGCGTGTGCGTAGTACGTGGCTTGCTTGGAGCTTGGGGAGCCATTGACAGCGACCAACGGAGGGACCTCGGAAAATGAAGAGGCCAAAAGTATGCTTAGACAAAAATATATGAAAAAATGATTTCGACCTCGTCATCATCACTCCGCGTTGCGCGACAAAATCTACCAGCCGGTGACTCTCAAACGTCTAGGTGCGAATCGGTGAGCGCTGTCCATAAAGTTTCGGTTTGGAATAAAATGTTCCGCGCGGCTTGAGGTCTCAGCAATGTGTCCCACAACTTTCCAGAAGGCTTCCGTTTCTATCATGCAGATCGCAGTTGACACACGAAGGTTCGAGTGCTCGTTAATACAGCAGATTGGGCTAGTTGGTAAACGGGACTCGCGTACCAGAGCGCAGAATTCGAGTTTTGTCGCGCGCCGACGTAAGTCATGGTTCGAGTGCGAGTGGCTACAAGAGCGAGCACAGCGAAAGCTCTGCTCGCTCTTGTAGCCACTCGAGCACAGCGAAAGCTACAAGAGCGAGTTTCGTGCCGAGTGGTGATCATCAGTTCGTCGAACGACGTCTTATCGACAGCTTGCTTCGTCTACTGCGACGCTTCATGGACAGTTCGATTCATCGAAAGGTTCACGCGATCGTTTTATCGACACACCTTGCGACGTTTCGACGAAAGTGTCTGTCCGCGCACATCGCCTTTTTTGGCGGCATACAGGTGGGCCTAGCTGGGCCTAGCTGGGCCAACCTTTGGCGGTTACCATGAAGACTGCTGCAAGCTCGTGCCTGAGATTATATCGAAGTTTTCGCGAAGAAAGGTGAGGAGTTTTCACGCATAGCGTGGAGTGTTTGGAAGCTCAAGATTAGGGCTCACGAATGTATTTTTGCCCTATCGGAGCCGCTTAATTAAGGTCGCTTTAGTTTCGGCATCCTTCAGGCAAACGAAGCCAGTAATTCGATCCAAGCAACCTAGCAAAAATATTACCTCGTCGACGAAACGCCGCAGTTGCATACGTTCACAAAACAATTTTCCACGAAACATCCATCGTGTCGACGAAACGTGTGTTTATGAAATATATCTTCGAGACGTGTGTTTATTAAAATGCTAGTCGTGTTTTGACGAAACGAGATGGACCCCTGCCGAGGCGTTTATGCAGTAAAAATTTTTTTTAGGAAAGCATGATAGCGCCTGTAGTTACCGCTTGGCTCGCACCTATGGTGAAACAGCGCTTGCCTGCTGCGTTTGCGCAGTGCCAATACTTTTTTTGGCGTGATCACACGCTTGCTTATTAATATTGGTTTTCTTTATAGTTCACGCTGCGATTCAGCGTGGTCTAGAGAAAAAAGAAAACAAACTTCACTACTGGTCATGTGTGCCACAATTAACGAAGAATGTTCACATCTGGCCGCTCGCGTGGGTCAACGTTGGTGATTGTCAAAAACAATTCTGACGGTGTAAAATCAAGTGGCGAAAGTTCGCTGTCAGCGCGAGCTTTGGGCAAGCCCTTGACCGAGAAGACTGTCAGCCGTCAGCACGTAGATGTTAATTTCAACTATTCAGATTTAGAATGCTTGCACCTTTTCTATTGCAAGCAGTCAGGAGACACAGCTTACACCTCGCCTGATTGTTATAAAATAATATAAAAATGCAATAATTACAGCGTGAGCAGTGCGTGTAAGCTGTCGATGCGCTCAGGACTGTAAATTGTAGCGATTTTCCAGTCTTCATCAGCGTGCGCATTATGCATCCGTACACAATAGCGAGTTTTAGAATAGGGGACCCCAGAGGCTTTGGGTGCCCCAAACAGCTTGGGGCGTCCCAGTGCGCTTGCGCAGAACTTCCGCGCGTGGGCACTGGGACGCCCCAAGCTGTTTGGGGCACCCAAAGCTCTGGGGCCCCCTATTCTAAAACTCGCTAATGTTTAACATTATGTTACACTCTACCCGTTGTATACTTTTTTTGTATTTTGTGCAAACCATTAGTTGGTCCGCACAAATCACCAAATTAATATTGCTACTGTTCCAAAACTCTGTGAGAGCTATTCATAAAAAAATGGTTGGCTGCAGTCATTTTAACTCTCTCTACACTCAGTGCTAAAAGTAATTTTGATTTCTGAGTCATTATTTTGCATTGGCATTACTCTTGTTTTTTCGTATAAGCCTAACCCTTTTGTGAGAGTCATATACTCTGTGTTTAACAAGCTTAATATCTACAACAGCTAAGGCTCATTTTCGTTAAGTTTTCGAGTACCACGGAAAAAATAAAAATCGCAGTGAAATAAAATGAGACACCTGACCAAAAAATTATTTTGCTGTTTTTACTGTGTGAGGTGTTTAACCCTTCAAGCTAGAATCCCGGAAACCCACGTCTTTTACGTCATCTCGTTTTTTTTTTTTTTTTTTTTTTTTTAATGAAAATTCACAAAGCGTCAAATATGTGCCCGACAAAACGGCCGACCCGTCCACCGTTGGGACCTGTCACTCGAATCTGACCACGTTGACATATGTGTACATGGGTTCGAGATCCCCGGGGTGACACATGAGCACCACCAATCTCAGTTTGTCATCGCGTCGGTTTTAATGAAGTATTCAATGGCGACCATAGCTGTGTGCGTGGCTACTGAACCCGTGCTGACGCGAGCTTCGAATTTTTTTTTTTTTTTGCAACGGGCATTCCGCCCCATCAGGTTTGCCGGTCTTAGCAGCATATTAATGGGAGCTGGTTCTGAACGTGCGCTCATCAGATCGCCCTCAAATATGGCGTACAGTGAATACTCTCTATGGTCGTGCATGGGCCTCGCCATTAGAGCAGGAGGATTTTCACGTTTTGTTCTGACCACATTTGCTGAAGACGCGAGCTCATAGCCAACGTTGTTCATAGCGTAGACAACTGCTCGCTTTGCAATAAGTGAACGTCCAGGGATGTCAATTTCAAAAGAAATACCACACGGTATCGAAGCACCACCACACACGATTTATTGCGTTCATGCACAGCTCTGGAAGACAATCTTATCGCCGTTTTCTGTTCAAAATCATACCAACCAAGCGTGGAATTCCAACTTAAACGAATACTCAAGTTGATTACCCAAACGCTGCATTCGGAAGTGACCTAACTTAAAAATAAAAAAAAAACAAAAAAACAAGGGGACATTAATACCCGTGCCACACAGGCAACTCGAATGCCATTTACAACGAATGACATTTGTGTGATTGACGAATCAGCTCGCAATCTGTCGCGCGTGGAATGCGCCACGCCCGGACTGTCGCGCGCTGATTGGCCTTCCGCTCAAATGTCATTCGTCGTGAATGGCCTTCGGGTTGCCCGTGTGGCACCTCTTCTATCTTTCGTTTTATCTTTTTCGTGGTTTTCCGTTTCCTTTCGGTATTGTTTTTCCCCAGATAAATTTTTCTTTGCATTTCGAGGGCTCATCCTGCTCCTGTCTTGTTACCTACCTTGCTGTCATAATATCTGTTTTCATTAAAGGGTGGGGCTATCGAAGTTTTCATCACGGCGTTATCGAGAGTGCCAGGATGATGAAAGAAACTGATATTTTTGCCGTCGCTGGGTGAAACATAGAACAAACACATCGTGTCTTCTTCTGGTCGCTTCTCATTTTCTTTCTTTTATTTTTGCGTTTTGAGGTTGCATTTTCGTTTCTAGCTTGTTTCCTGCTTTATGTTCGGTCACTTCCGTTTCAAGTTCGCAATCGCTCAACTTTGTGTTGGGGTCTGCTGATCCCTTTTCCTGTAAAAAATGAACAATTTAACAAAATCACCGGTTCAGGAGGTTCTCGTATAAAAGTAGGTAAACACGTGCTCAGGCGAGTGCGGACAGTTCCTCAACCAAGGAAGCAAGTTCCTGCTGTCTCTGTTCTGCTGCAGAGACCTTGATTGAGCTCCGCCAAATTATCCTTCCCACCTCCCCCCCCAGCCACACACGTACACAGACACGCACACTCAGTTTGTTTTAAGACGTTTGTCTTCCCTTTTCAAATCCGCAGACAATTTCATTTCCAGAATCCTCCAACCTCGTTTTCTACGAAGTGACGCCAGTTATTTCTCAAATAGTGGATACCCGCGACACTTTTTTTTCAAACATTACAACATTTATTTGAGCTACTGAGTGCAGCATACTGAGAAATCTAACTAAGATTAACTCTGGTCCAGGCGAAGAAAATGTTCGTGAGAATCGGGCACAGCAACAATGAACGGGTTCTGAGACGCTATTTGCGGAAAGCTGGAATGTGCTCGGCACTGCCAAAGCCGGCTGAGCTTCTGAAGTTTTCACCTTTTATTTAAGAAAAAGGCTTTAAATACTAGTGCGTTTCATTTGGTCAATAAATACGTTTCATGTGGTCCCCAAATTTGGCTGTCAAATTGAAGCATGGTGACAGTAAATTGAAAACGGCGAAGCGAGGGCTGCAGTGAAGTGCATTTCCTCCAAATATGTATCATCAGCACTCGCCTCGGAAGCGCCTGCAGTTTTGATTTCACTGGTGCCTTAAAACAATATCAACCACCTGGTTGCGAACACGGTTTTCGAGGCGTTCGTAGCTTCCGCAACACTGTTTCCAAAATATAACATCCAGTGTTTCAAGTTTTCTTTTTTTTTCTTCTCCGGGTCTGTATATAGGCTGGTGAGGGTTTCTCCGTACCTGCCACAAAGTTAGCGGGCATTTCTCCGGTTAGCTTTTTATTGGTGAGCTTTCCACTGGTGAACTCCTCTTCGGTGAGTTTTCTTCTGAAAACAGAGTTCTTATTTGCTCCATACCTGAAATCATTATATGCTTTCCTAGAATAAGCTACGAATAAAGCACTGTACTAAAGAGACGGGAGTATCTTTAAAAATACACAACTGATATAGAACTTTTCGGTAGATATGCGGCTCTGTCCAAAATGTCAAGCATGCCTGGAAAAGCCATCGAGCTCAGTTTATTTTGAAAAAAATGCACGCCAGAGCTCTGGGGTTAAATCCAGAAGCGCACTTATATCTCAACGTCTTGTAGGCTAATCTCTGAAAGATATTCAGAGCAAGTAGCAAAGTAGAGCACCTATCGTTTTTCCGGGTCTCCAAGAAAGCACCGTTCTATAACTCGTACCACTGCACGCCCGTTTTTTGTGGTGGCGCTAACGGTCGGTGGCCCCTTTGAACAGACGCTGCAGAGCTGGAGCTGATGGACAGTCTGGTGAGCCGGGACATGCTGAGCAGCTCCGGCACCCAGGGGAACAGCGAGGGCAACGACGAGGCTGCCATGGCCGTCATCATGAGCCTCTTGGAAGCGGACGCCGGGCTTGGTGGACCGGTGGACTTCAGCGGCATACCGTGGCCCCTTCCCTGAGGGACACCCTGCCCTGCAAAGCCTGTGCGCCCGGCCATTACTCTGAGAGTCAAGCTGGAAACAAAACATCCTACCTACGGCACGTCCTTCAGCCCCTGGGTCATTTTGTAGAATACACATTGACGTTTGAGAAGTGTGTGGTCTGTTGATGGCATCGTCAATGAAAAACCAACGAGGTGACAGCGTTCTCGGAAAGATCAAGATCCTGCCGTTCTGCAATACGGCAGCACTCGGCAAGGGAAGTTGGATGTGTTGGGCAGATTTCTAATTTTTTTCCCCTGTGTTATTTATCGTTCTGTATGTCCGAGAGGGGAGGGGGCACGATTGCTTCTTCCTTTTCCCGGTTCTAACGCCAACGAGCACACGTCAAATACTAGACGCCTTGACTGGACGATTACTTCTGAACGACTGCTCGCGCCCAGTCTGTTCGCTGTATTAGGTATCTTCTTCGTATGATGCTGTGACTTCTTGAAACCATCACGTATGATGCTGCGACTGTTTCAAGTTCCGGCGTGCACGTATAGTAAGTGCATACCACGGGATAGGGCACGCACCCACTCTTCGCGGGAGAAAGGCGGAGAGGTAGTGTTTGGGACAGGACTTCCGACGCCTATAGACGATTCCAGTAGGCCCTCTCAGGACGGTGAAAATTTGTCTGACCGCAGCGGCCCCCCCCCCCCCCCCACACACACACACACGACACACACACACACAGATCCGGGAAGTTCAGCAGGTTTGGAGGGGTAAAACGAAAGCCAGTTACAAGTCAAGAAGGTAGCGGCAAATTCCCTTCAAAGGAAATCTTTTGTTCCTCCCTCACCAATCGCGTCCCATCGTTTTTGTGACGTCATTACCTGCGTGAACCAATCTTGTTTTTGCAAACGAATATTTTCAACATGGCAGCACTGGAGTAACGAAGGGGCGAGTTGGTACATGAATTAAAAAATAAAAAAGCGATAACAAAGACATGAATAAAAAAGAAGGCGAACAGGACGAGTGCTTACTCTCAACTGAACATTTGTTTAAAAACAGCTAAAGAAAACAGCCTCCGATTAAAAAAATCACTGAATCACTCAGTGGCGTCTCTCATCACCACGTGTCAATAAAATCACTCTCTTTTTGATGCAGAAAAATTGACGGCTAGCTAACGCAGCCTTCAGTCCCCTTCTTTTTATAGCATACGCTTCGAGCACTTCCCTCGCAGCTTTTTCACGAGCCCTCCCAACGATCGTGGTATTTTGAAAGTTGGCCTGGCACTGACAACATCTACAGTGAAGAAGCAAGTATCCTCCAGTTGTTGAACGCAAAGACAGGTCATGCTCGCGCATCCTCTCTTTTACGCGCCGTCCTGTCCGGCCGATGTACACCCAACCATATGTCAGCGGTATTCTGTACGCCACACCTACGTTACATACTACAAATCTTTTGGCATGATTGGCGGTGCATAAGCGAGCGCCGTTTTTTTTTTTTTCTTGTTTTTTTTTTGTGTTTTTGCTGGATCCGCGGGCATCATTGCACCAACTTACATGGCGCCGAAAACACAAGCGGCACATTAATCTTTTTCCCACCTTTTTCAAGTTATGTAAAATTTTGTGAAAGTAGGGAATGACCCGAGGTCTCGCTTTTTTTTTTTTCTTTCATACCCTGACCCTTGATCTTTTTCAACAGCGCCTCGGCAGCTCCAAGCAAAGATGAAGTTGGAAAACCGGCACCTCTAATTTGATTAACCTGCAGGTTGAAGCTGTCACTCATAACATGGTGGCATGACTAATGAAGTTCCGCCGGGAGACAAGACAAAGCAATACTCCTTTTTACTGATTTGGAATTTGTCAAATCGTAGGCGAGGATTTCATTTTTAGAGCGCGGCTGGTAACTCCAACACACGTGGTTTCGCGTGAACTGGCCGTCTGGGAGTTCCCGTCTTTTGTGACATTTTCTTAGGCAAGTTCGACCAAAATGTCCACATTGGTTTGGAAGGGAAACAAGTGTGTAAGGGTGTCAGGTATGTGGACGACTATCTGGTGCTATGGAAACGCTCTGGCAACCTTTTGACGATTCAAGCTTGCTTGGCTAAAGGTGCATTCACACTGTGAAAAACGCGCGTCGAGGGGTGAGTTTATTTTGTTCGCTTTTTTGTAATGTAAAACGTTTGGCGTCGAGGGCGACGATGCCGGGAGACGACGTCTCTGGACCCAATTTTTCGCTGGACGCGCGCGTTTGAGCCAATCAGCGAGTGGCCGGATGTGACGTGTCGTCTTTCTCCGGTTAAGGCCTGTATTTGCGTTTTTTTTTTTTTTTCTATGATGAAAGCAATAAGGCAGAGGAATCAAGGGATGAGGGAAGCGACCTAACGTGGCTGGAAGCATTTCAAAGTGGAGAAACGCAAACCGATTGGAGCAGTGTTTGCTCTGCGTACTTTCTGAAACACTCTTGCTCGTTTGCGCGAAAGCTGCCATCGAACGGCGCGGCTGCTGCGGCCGCGTGCGAGACCGGCGGGAGCCTCTCCTCCAAACGTGGGTAACCTGCCGCTGGAGATGGGCGTCCGGCTGTGCCGAAGCAGCTGGCCGGCCCTCCCCGAGAGCTGGGTCTCCGGGCAAGCGTGGCCGACGTCGTCGTCACTGTCATCCAGCTGGTTCCCGAGCTCAGGCATCGAAGCTGCCGGCTTCGCCATGGAGGCGACTGACGACTAGTGTCCAGGCGCCGGCGTTCGGTTGTCGACAGGATGGAGGCCAACGAGAACCCACCAGATAGACTTTGCGAACAGCGCGCACTTGGATGGAAGCGAATGTCATATAATTTTGGAATGTGGACAAACGTCGACCTGGCTGGTAATAGCACCTGGAAAGATTGTATCGGCAAAAATACCTGGGTAGTAAAAATCAATAAAAGACCACGAATAGTTTCGCTAACCGGTAAATTAAACGCAGATGTTTTGATACCCGGGGGATGTGAGGCGAGGAATTTAACAGCGGGCTCTTCAATACATTAAAAAGAATGCCATGTGGAATCATTGAGGAAAGAACTGACCGAGGAGTGAATATGTTGCAACCCTCTTACGGTACACGCGCGTGGTCGAAATGTCCAGCATTTTACAGGAGCAAAATGTCCAGAGGGCCACGTGGCGTACACGTGAAAATGTTCAGCGAGACCAAATGTCCGAAAAGCTGTATCGGACACTTTGAGTGAAACTTCGAGGAGTCCGAGACACCCTTTAATATATCTCGGGCACCTTAAAGGGGTGTTCCGCCGATTTCTTCATGGTCGCTGATTTGTCTCAAAATTGGCTCGACACAGCGATAGACACGGCTGTACCGGTACCCCAAGTTTTGTGTGAAAAGAAAAATATTTCGCGAAGTCATTTAATTTTCGAATTTCGTTTTCATCGTGTTTCTCAAGCTGGGACATTCGAGTGTGACGACAGCAATGGTACGAGGTCGGCAGTAAGCAATGTTCCCAACTGATTACAAGACCTTTCAGGGTGGGAAAATAATCCTTGGTAGCTGATTCACTGAGAAGCACGCAAAAAACACTCGACATACTTGTTTAAGACTCCCTGCACGACCTGAAAGCTTTACCATTTGTGACATTACACCAGTGGAGAGCGGTTGGAAATTTAAATGCTCGTTTCGGCTTCATCCTCATTCATCTTCATTTAAGGTTTTTCTCAATGGCTATATTGAATTTCTTGAAAATATATAGCATACCGGGAACACTAAAGCCCGGGTAGTCATAAAATGCAATTTGTTTGGGTAGTTCGAAAACGGCCAGAGTACCCCTTTAAAGGCGGCTTTCCCTTTACTTTAAGGTAAAGCTCGGCAGCAGCGGGTACGCTTTCTTTTAGTTAAATAAATTAGCTGTTGCACTTTTAATGCCCTTTTTATATAATACGATCAAGGTACTATCGTAGGCGTCATGAAAGGTTACACTTGATCTGGCCCCGTTCGGTTTACGGCACCTACTAACCCCTTCAATTTCGCCGTCTCGAATAGCGGGTACGTTGAGATCAAAACTTTGTGCTGTAAATCTTCCAAGGTACATAAAAATATGTTTATATGGTGGCCTGACTTCCCCGTCTAGTGTGGGAGCAAGCTTGGGCAGTCCAATCAATCAATCAATCAATCAATAAATTGTCTTTATTTTCCTAAGGCGAGAAGAAACTCTTCTTGGAGGGTCCAAAGCCACAAGAGGTGAGACAAAGTCATCTGTCGGGGTGCCGAGGGCCCACATTGGGGCAAGGTTCAGCAGTACGAGCAAAACAAATCAACAACACAGCACATAAAAGAGAGTGCGCACAGACAATATATCATTGACAACAGCAATACACCAGTTAGACATCAAATCAGCAAATAGAAAAAGGAAAATAACAGAATAATATATGCAGGGCACTATATTTACGCGTGATAACATGCACGCATTGTTCTATTTTGTCCCCGAAAATGGTTTGCATATAGCGGGATATTCATATTAACGGGACATGCCTGTATGCAAGTTCAGTCAAACTGCTTTTATTGCCGCATGAATGACCGAGAAAATACGCTTCTCCGCTCATCTAGATTCTAGAGGATTCGTGTTTATTCTTACCCCGAGCTTAAACGATAAGGAGGCCACAATGACCTTGCCTAGTCAGTCTCGTTCTCCTTCTCAAACATTCTATGCCGAATATTGGAGATGATGAGCGTAGCAGATATAATGTCGATTCATTCCCGGGTTCTCTTTCACGGTAACCGGGTGTTACGCCGACGTACAGTCGCTTGCTGCTTCCGCCGCCGACGCTCGCTGCTGCTTTCCCGACGTCTGTTCTTTTTTGTTTTTTCTGGCACAAGTTTCCCCCATTAAATCTGTAGCTCATTCCATTTTCTTTAACCTCTTCGTCTGTCATTCGTAAGAATATTTCCCCTTCTCAAATGGTATTTGCTACCATCTAAAAATTATTAAGGCGAAAGCCTTATATGTCCCATTACGCGAAACGGCGTCGGAGTTGCGCCCCAAGGATGGCCATAAAGATACGTCATGAAGCACGCGACGCTCAAGGTAAAGCGGACGCGCCTCAAAAATAAAACACAAAGGAAAGCAGAGCAACGCAGATGCATCGTCACGGAAGCCGTCCAGACGGCGGGGGCGCCCCGCCTACGCGGGGACACGCAAAGCTGCCTTTGTCTCCACTGGATTCGTCGAACGCGTTCCAATGCGAGAGCCAAACGCCTGACGCCATCGTTGCGCGTTCTAAGGCGTTCAACGAGTGCAGTGGAGGCAAAGGCAGCTTTACGTCTACCCACTAACCATTCCTAGCGGAACTCGGCTTCCTGACGTCCCCGCGCGCTTTCGTCTCTCCCCCGGTTTCTGCCCGAATAGTTACTCGCTTCAGGGCGCAAATAGCGCTTATTGACCAAACAACGCGGAAAATATATTCTCGATTTCGCGGTAAAAACCGGTTCGAACCGGTTTGAACCGTGATTTTTTCTCCCCGAGCCATAACCAATCCGATAAAAACTTTGGTTCAACTATCTGGCTTTGAATGTAGGATCTTGGTGTGTTTGTGTGTGTGTGGGGAGGGGAAGGGGGGGGGGGGGGGTTAGCGTTTGCTGATATTCGGTACAAAGCGACCGAAAGGAAGAAAAATTAACATACTAAACTGCAGTCCTTTCAGCGTTTCTGTCCTTGTTTTCTTTCATACGTCCGCAAGCTAGCTGTGTGAGCTTCGTGACACACAATAAAACGCTACATTAAAATATTTGCTTGGGCAGACCAGGTGCACTGCTCAAAGGTTCGAGCCTTTTGAAGCGAAATGACATAAATATACCTGGACAAATTTGATGCGAAGCGAACGCCCGATTTCTTCTAGCCAAATGAATCGCAAATTCTTACCTGTGTTGGTTACCTCTCGCTACTAAAACCATGCTCACAAAGACTACAGTTGCACGATTCTCAGGGAAGAGCGGTTGTTTTTACGAAAACCGACACATTTATACGGAATTAAAGCTCATAAAGAAACAAATCAATTCAGATTTTAAAAAAAGTTGTCGTGGGAGGCTAGGCATACGCCCAGTCCCGTTTTTGAACCCAAATTTCGGAGCTTTTGTCTTTTATAACTAACCTGTGAACCTTTTGCTGTGCATCATTATCAAGGCGCCAAGCTGTTCATGAGCAGATAAAATAAACGAAAAAATGAATGAATGAGTGAATTAATTAATTAATTAATTAATTAATGAACGAATGAATGAAAACAAGCTGCCGCACAGCACGTTTGAAGGCCTGTACTTGCGACAGTTGGTAGCTGCAGACAACGACGTTGGTTAATATCTTCCTCTGACAATCTCGGAGACCGTGAAACAACTGGCGCTCGTAAGAATAGGCGAACTGAACAAATTCGTCTACGCGGTGTGAGAAACTGTTGGTCGTAGACGGCGGCAGCCATGTTTATTGTTTGAAACCGGAGCGGAAAAGGCGATTGTGTGATGTTTCTTAACTATATCGACTCTATATATCTGTATCATTTGTTTCTCAAACATAACAAATATGTCACATAAAACGTTCCACACCTCAACCGTCTCTCCAACCAACGAGAGCCGAGAAACCATACTTAGGTATCTAGCTAAGCACATTTTGTAATAGCATGACTACCTCCACCTCAATTGCGTCTGGCGGCGTAATATTGCGCTCAAATTTTTATTTTTGTCTGGAATGCTTTTTAAATGCGTGTCCATCCTAGGCCTTTTCAATTTTTTTCTTCATTGCAGTTTTTCTACACTTGAGACTTGCTGCCGAACGCGAAAATAACCAAACCGAAAAAAACATGGCTGTTTGATCTATTCTTAGCTTTTCTCGTTTGGAGAAACTATACTACGGGCGCTTTAAGTTCTGTAGCAGGGCCTCCGGTTCGAACTAGCCGGGCCCGAAGGTGCTTCGCATTTTCCGTATCCAGCTACCCGGAGCGCCCTCTTCAGCGAGAAATAATAAACGAAGCCCGCGCCGCCACGAGGGTTCCCTAGCGACCATCGATTTCCAAGATGTCCGCAGCGCCGACTCGACTAGCTTGAACGGGATGCGACACCCGGGGTGAGTCAATGAAGGATTTTATTTGCCCTTGCGGGCGTCTCAGGTAGGTTCCAGTTAGCATCGGCGTTCCACGATTAAGCAAATACACAATTGAAACGTTTTCGCATCGAATCTCCGGATCGCACGGCCACCCGATAACCGGTCGATGTTATTAATTGTTTTTGGTGGATGGTATTAGGGAAAGCATAAAGGTTTGGCTATTGTTCAACGATCTCCGAAAGCGACACTTTAAAAAATTCCTAAATTTTTTTCGCAGGAAAATACGAATATATTGACCGTTCTTTTGCTTCGAAGTTGAACAGAATCGCGTCACGTGTTGGGGAGGTTCCTTCTGTTTCTTTTCTGTTTTTTTTTTAATTTTTTTTTTCGAAAAGTGAGCGTGGACGCTCGCAGTTGTTGTGCCCTCTTGCTCATGTTTAGCTAGAATGCTAAACATGAAAACTACGGCTGAACTCAGAAAAAAAACAAGAAAACATTTACGCCTCGATTTAATATAACGATCTATTGAGGGAAAGGCCCCGCGCATTGCGACCGCTTCGGAACGGCGGGGCGGTCGACCGATCGGTCCAGAACACTGGCGACGATTGAATATACGCTAAGAAGCAGGAAGGCATCGCTTGCGTGGTTTGACCCTGTTGTTTTTGTACATGGTGGAAAACACCAACGTAGCGCATTGCATAAGACGAATGAAAATTGACAAGCACTAAAACAACTTGAAATCTAAAACGAGCACACCAAACCTGTCGTCTGCTTTCTTGTTCCGCACTTCTGTCTGTCTTTATCTCGGGACCAGCGATGTCAGCGCTCAGGATTTCTGCTCCCTTCTTTACCTCCTTGCATTGACGCTGGGCTGAAGTATACCGCGTGTATCATCGAACGCCGGCCAATAATTTTCAACCAAAACTACGCATCGCTCACAAGTAAAATTGGTACCTATAAGTCACTGTCAATTTTTTCGATAAATAAGTTTGTAATTAGGGTCGCTAATTACCTTTTTAATAAGTTAAAAGAAACATTTGGTTCCAACTACAGGCTCGAGGCATCATCGAAAGCTACTACATCGGCTCATTTTACGACATTAAGAACGTAAGGCTATAGAACGTGAGCATGTTGGCGGAATTACACCATTGGAAGGTTAGGACATCCTAAGGACATCCCCAGGACTAGATGAGCGGCTGGGGAATATCTGCCGCACGTTCACACGCAAATATCCGAACTATACACACACGAATCTGCGCTGATCAGCTCATCGGAAGTGGTGCCTTGAAATTCTTACCCCTTAGTCACACGTTTCCGAAATGGTGCACGCACATGTGCGTTTGGGGACTACAACATACCGATGCACCCTGTCTTGGGAGGACTAATGGCTGCTTCTCCTCGCGCACAACTCTCGGTTAGTCCAGGTGGAGTGCAGTTAGTCCTCAGCATTTGGACACGGTTCCTACCTCGAACCAGATGGTCTCTTTGAGAGGCAAATGGGAGTTCTGAGGACCAAATGCTGCCGTTAGTTCCTCCAGACCATCTTTTTTCTTATAAGAGTGCAGTGGCGGGAGAGGTAAGGGAGAGTGCGGATGGTCTACGCTTTGTCCCGACTGACTGGCCTACCGACAAACCAACAAAATCTAAGGAAGGCGGGTGTCGCCAGGTAATACGGTGCGTTTAGCAAATACGCACTGAAGAAATTGAGGGCGGTCCTTTGGTCTATCGCCCAAACATCCCGCATGTACACGCATTCCCGCTATTTGGCACAGAGCGACCAAGTTTGCAAAGAGCGTCGCAGATACTGTACGACGCACACGACGACGTCCTTCTGGGAGACGCTGTGGTGTCCCCTCATACGCTAGGACGAAATGTTTAAAGGCTAGCCCACATGGCGCGTTTTTCAGTGCGTCTAGACGCGCGTCTCGGGTTGGCGCGCGCGCTCTCAGCCAGACGCGTGCGCCCAGTCAAACCACACGCAGCGCGCTTCGCGTCTGCGCTTCCGAAGCGTCCGCCCAACGTAGCCAGACGCGCTTAAGAAACAAAAGCAAATTTTAAATAGAAATCGCGCGTTAAATGATGGCTACATGCCGTAATATTTAATTTTAGTAATAGTAAGGACTCGTTTTTATTACAGCAATTGCAATGAAGCTCAATTTCACTCATTTTCATCCTTTTTAGTGCGTACGCCTCATCCACGTTTCGATACGGCATCACCATCGCCCGCGCCCGCACCAAAACATTGACAGCTGGCCGCTGGCCGCTACAGAGGCGACAGAGGTTGCGTTGTTGCGGTTGTTGCCGGCAGTATTAATTTTCTATCTTTGTCTCTCGGTGTCCTTGTATTCTTTACATTTTGCCTGCCAGAGTGCAGGACGCTTTGCTAGGTCCTCTCTGTTCCGCTGAAGGAGCGTCAGCCTCTCCCGCGGAGCAGGGAGTAGTCCCTGGACTTGCGTAAAAGGTGTGGTAAACTGATATCCGCGGAGGGAAGGACGTAGCTACTAACTACCCATGTTCGCCCTGCTGCGAGTGTGGGCGGGGACTAAAAGCCGTTTTTATTTAAGGCCGCGAGCGTGCAAATTTTGTAAACTCCGCGCGCGCGGGTGTGCGTGTGTGCGTGCGCTCTTCTCTGGAATGGCACAGGGCTGTTACCCTTTTTGTGTGTCTATCTTTCTGTTTTGAGTGTTTGTATTCATTTTTTTTTCTCCCGTATCCCTTTCCCTTCTTGGCGGTGGGCTAGCAGGTGCACCTGCGTAAGGGTCTCAACCTTTCTGCCTAGCCTTGCACGCTGCCGAGGGGGTATCGCAATATGTGCAAATAAGAAGTATTATTGTTATTATGATCGCCTTTGTCGCAAGGTCCGTGGCGAAAACTACAGTCGTACAGTGGCGAAAACAGTGGAGAAAATTCCCACGCTCATTGCAACTAGTGAACACGGCCATTCATTGGTTGTTGCCATCTGGACGCAGCGCGAGACGCGACGCCTGGACGCAAAATATCTGGCTCCTTCAGATACGCCGGAATGCGCCAAAAAACTCTGCGTTTCGTCCCGGCGCCAGAAGTGACGTCAAAGCGCAGGCGCAGACGCGACGCAGACGCGGAGAAAAGCGCGCCATGTGGGCTAGCCTTAAGCCGGTGTTACTGTCCGCTCCAATACCCCTCTACGACAGGCTCTGCTGTCCATATGTGGCCCGCTCCGCTATCCGATATGGCACCGTTGCAGCTATCCTATGCTGCCCACCCCGATATCTGCTGCGTCCCGCTCAGCTGCACTATAAAAAACAAAACAACAAAAAAAAAAACGTGCGTCTGTTTTTCCGCACAACACTCGGAGAGCCAATCACCGCAACTTACGGAGGCAGCTCAGCGAATGACGATGCCGAAACATATGTTTAAACCAAAAAACGCAGTCTGAGTTGTCACATTAAGCAATGCAAGCGTGACATTTTGCATTGCTTAATGTCACAATTCAGACTGCGTTTTTGGGTCGAAACATATGTTTCGGCATTGTCATTCGCTGAGCTGCGTCTGTAAGTTGCGGTGAATGGCTCTCCGAATGTTGTGCGTGAAAGTAGACCCACAAACGTTTTTTAGAGTGTATGCGATGCCGGGTTCGCTCCGCTATCAGCTAGCGCTGTAATGCGCCTGACATGCACGGTGGCCCAGGGCTATTAACATTTCTGAGCGGGAGTCAAGGTTCAAGTGACTCGCTTTTCGTTTCGCCAAAGGACTTCCCAGTCAACCGAAAACCGCCGCACGAGATTGGTGTTTGTTTTTGATTCGGGTTCATTAGCGAATGTTCGATTGATAATTCGGTTTTGTTCCGGTTTTGTCAAAATAATCGTTTCTGTCCGGTTTTCCTCGCGAGTTTGTGTTCGGTTCAACAGCCTGGTAAAAACGTCAAGTTACCTGTTTCTGGTATCAAGAAGACTGCCCCACTGTGTTCTTTTCCCTGATATTCAACTGCTAAAAAATTTGCGGAACAAGCTCATAATTCAGCCATAACAACGAACAACTCGAGTGTCGAATTTTCATTAAACCAGCAAGTGCAGCATTACAGGACACGCGGGATGGAATTCTGCACTATTGCTGAACACCGGTAAAGGGTCCGAGAGATGACTTAAGAGCTCGGGGAAATAACCGAATTGGGTACATTAGAAAAATGATCAGACAAACTAGAGCCTTGAAGGATGACAACAAAATAATAAAAAAGGTCAATAGAACCATGAGCTATCGAATATAAAGCTACGTTGGTTTGACGTCTCATCATTGATTATTTTATGCTTACACGCCTGCCTTATCGGATGCAATTCATTTTGCACGGAAGAAACCCAGAGGGGGTCAGCTTGGGTGAGAGGCAACGAAGGACGAGGAACGGTGAGACAAGCCACAGGACAAGACGCTCACAAAAAGCGTAGCCCTACGACTGAATTCCCTCAGCGATTGATCTCGAACGCTTTCAGTATCTTCCTAACATGGTTAGACACAACTGGGAAACAAGCCTCCAGAATGAATCTGGTTTCTCAACGAAGTTTTCATATTCTTCGCACTCTTCTTTCGCGTTTCTGTTTTGTTCCACGATATTAGCGCCTATTGTGCGCGATGAGCGGACATTTTTTTTCTTCTTTTTATTGCTTCAACACGTTTCGCTCATGACGCGGGCGCAGAAGCAGACAGACAACGCGAGAAGGAGAGGGAGTTAACCCGCGAACCACAGGACCGTAACAGGACGAAAAGGCGTCAGTATGAACCAACTAACCCACGTCGCCACCCTTATTCAGACCGTATGGTAGGACGGTGAGGGGAGGGGCGGCGAGAAGGGAGAGATTAGGATCGACGTACGAACCTGGGCAGTTTGAAATTCCTTGAAGGTCGATACACCACGTGTTGCTAGAATCTGGAACGAAACCGCCATATCCCCCAAAGTGGGTCTCGAGCATATCTGAAACAAAATTAATGTATACATTAAGAAATATACCTGAAATGCATTTCAAAACGTGCTAAAGTAGTATTTATGTATC